TGGTGCTGCTGCTGCTGCTGCTGTTATTGTTGCTGTTGCAGCAGCAGCAGCTGCTGCTGCAGTGCGCGTAATTGGGCGTTTTGTGGCACTTCTCAGGCAGCAAATGTTGTCTCCTCTACTCCAGCTGTCTCTTCTCTCCCTCCCGTTCGGGCGTCTGCTGCAGCAGCGCTCCACCCACCCGCAGCAGCAGCAGCAGCAGCAGCAGCAGCAGCAGCTGGAGCAGCCCCTGCAGCAGCAGCAGCAGCAGCAGCAACGGAGCAGCAGTTTTCTGCGTACTTCCAAAGCCTGCAGCAAAGACAAACAGAATCTCTTGCTCAATGCATTCGAGATGTTGCTTCAATTTCTTCTCAGCTAGGAAGACCAAATCTTTCCAACCAAGTACCCACGGGGGCCCCCCTGGGGGCCCCCCTGGGGGCCCCCTTGGGGGCCCCCCTAGGGGCAGCTGGCGCAGCTGCTGCTGGGGCCCTTGGGGAACAGCTGCTGTACCCTGCGGGCCCTCGCAGCGAGTGTTTGAGAGCAGCAGCAGCTAGAACTGGATATGCGCCTGCTGCAGTGAGATTGCTGCTGCTGTTGCTGCTGTTGCTGTTGCTGCTGCTGCTGCTGCTGCTGCTGTTGCTGCTGCTGTGCCGGTCTTTCTATGCAGCATGTGGGAAATAGTTCTGTGGGTGCTGCCGCGTTGCTGTTACGTGTGTGGTCGGGACTTGTGTATGTTTGCTGCAGCTGCTGCAGCAGCAACAGCAGCAGCAACTGCTGCAGCAGCAGAACCTGACGCTCCGTCTGCGAGGCCTCGAAGCAGCAGTGCAGCGTCTCCTCTACCGCGATCAGACGCAGCTGCAGCAACAAACAATGAAGGGGCCCCTGGGGGCCCCCATGGGGGCCCCCCTGGGGGCCCCCGTTGGGGCCCCCTTAGAGGCCCCTAGGGGGGCCCCCCGGGGGTCTCCACAAGGGGCCCCTCAGGGCGACCCCCAGGGGGCCCCCCAGGGGGCCCCCCAGGGGGCCCCCCAGGGGGCCCCCCAGGGGGCACTCCAGGGGGCCCCCCAGGAGGCCCCCCAGGGGGGCCTCCAAGGGGCCCCCCAGGGGCCCTCTGGGGGCTCTTCTTCGATGCCAAGTGACAGCAGAAGGTCAACTGCTGTGAGGCATTTGCTGCTGCTTTTGCTGCTTCACTTTGTGTCTCTTTTTGTGTTTTTGTGTTTTCTTTTTTATCTTTTTTGTCTCTTTTGTTTTTCATTTTGGGGATTCTTTTTGCTTCTTCTCCTTTTCATTTTTGCTTCTGCTGCTTGTGTCTTTGTCCCTTTGCTGCTGCAGAAACACATAACCCGGAAGCAGCGTGAGGGCCTCACAGCAGCAGAAGCAGAAGCAGCAGCAGCAGCAACAGCGGCAGCAACAGCAGCAGCAGCAGCTGACCGCAGCTGCGTGTCTTCCCCTGAC